TGTTTCTTTAAGCTAGTGTGGCATAGAAGCAGCAACAGCTGTGGTATACTACCACTGCCTAGTGCCTAAAACAACACATTCTCCATGGCCTCCTTTATAGGCGTGGACGCGCTGGGCTCTCAGGGTCCCAGCGCGCTCTCCTGGGCAGTGAAAGCTCCTCTTCTACTGAGGTCTACTCAGTCGATCCTGTCCCTATTTCACCCATATACCTTCCTCAGGATGTGAGGTCCACTGGCCACTTGGACCACATGGGAAGCGTACGAGGAACTGCGAAAGCCAGGGTGTCCGTGAGTCGTGACGGAGAAATAGCGCCCCCCGGGGAGACTGGATCACAGGATTTAGTGTTCCACGGCCTCCTTGATCACAGTGACTAGCCACAGTTACAAGACATTTTGAGAGATGCTCATAGTCCCCTGGAACTTAGTCGACCTAGGAGGGCAAGGAGGGAAAAACTGTCTTTTATGTCCCTGTGACCAAATTAGTAAAGGCCTCAAAGTATGGCTATTAAACATCCTAGAAGGTTAGTTTCACCCCCTCTGGTACTTTTAATTACCAATTGCCATATAGATAGAGCTTGGTCAAAGACCAAATGCTCTCAGATAAACCTTGCTGAATCATATATTACATTATTTGATCTGGTTGTATGTATAATTTTTCAGTAGATTGTTCGCCTAATATGGTTCCCTCTGGTTTTCTAAAACTAGCTAGGCCTTGTTTATCTCTCACATTGTCTAACACTTCCACCATGGTTTCCCCATTTAAGGTGCCCTCATTTTTCCCATTTCTCCCATAATAACACCTTTCCCCTTCTCCTATGGTCCCACTTATCTTGATCTCCTTCTTTACCTTTATCCCATAGGTTCCTTGTATAACCTTCCCTCCCTCTCCCCTTAAAATAACCCCATTATTATCCATATCTCCCTTGTTAACACCTGTTTTCTACTGCTCTTCTCTTCCAGAGTCTTTCTTTTCCTCTACTTCCCTGGTTCCTCTTCATTATCCAGGTTCCTGTAGTTATGTCTCCATACATACTCACTTATAAGGATTTAGTGCAGGATTCGTATATGAGGGAGAACATATGTCGTTTTTTTCCTGAGTTCCATCAATTTCCCTGCAGATGATTTCATTTCTTCACTGCTGAGTAAATCTCCATCATATAAAGGAACCACATTTTCGTTATCCACATTTCAGTTGAGGGACACTTAGGTTGCTTCTAT